AAAGAAAAAAGCTTTTGTTCTTCTATTACAAAATTTTCGACCAATTTTCGTATCGACCAATTATCGGCGACTAATTTTCGTTCGACCAATTTTCATTCGACCAATTTTCGTAGACCCATGTGTAGATTTTTAAAACTTTGGACAACGTTTGAAGTGTAGCTTTTACCCAATGAAAATTATTTGTAGATGTGGCTGCTGCTAGGATCTGCCATCTATATCTAATATAGATGGGCGATCCTAAGTCTTATTCTCTATCCTCCTTTCTTGCTTTCTCTCTCTCTCTCTTCTATCGTGTGAGCGTGTGGAGACGGGGGTAAAATGATGATATTGTGTGTGGTCTAATTATTACTCTCTTCGTTAAGTTTTGTTTTTGATTTTTCCTGTTGTTGTTGTTATATGTTGTAACAGTTTAGGTTTACGTATTTAAATAAAGTTATGATCCATAAGGGAACCTAACAGCTGTGAGCGTGGATACGAATCCGCCTCTTGGTTTCCTATTTGCTGCAGCCACATTGAATAAGCACACTAAATTGCAAACCTTCCAGCATAGGGGGCGGAACGATTTCAATCTAGGGTAGGCTCAATTTTCCAGCGAAATGATGTCATGAAGATAGTGAGAAAATGACGCTCATCGTATTTTTTCAACGCTAGACGCCATACGCCTTCTTGCTAGGTTTTGATTCTGTATAAGTGTGATAAATTTATGGTGCTTTATTTTTTTGAGATAAAACAAGAAATAACGAAGTATTACAGAACAGCTACTTAAAAAATAAAACGAGTCTAAAACATAATAAAATCATGCGGCACCAAAAAATGTTTTTCTATTTTCATTCTTTGAAATAAAATCAGAACTGTGAGCATCCTGTAGATGTCACTATCCAACATCAACAGTGTTACGCTCTAGTTATTATCCGTTCTGTTGCGTAATCCATTGGAAAACACTATTCACGTGATAGTGTTAAATTATATTACGCACTTAGATTATTCCTATATATGTATCCGTTGTTTCTCTTTCTCTTTCTTCTTCTTCTCTTTATCATCTCTACTGCTGGTCATATCCATGTTGATCGTTCATAACCAACATTAATAAATTATATACATATATTTCTACGTGGCTTCATATTCATATTATGTATGTAAGCTTATATTTATATATGTAAAGAAGACATAGCTTCAGTATATATCCCCTAACATAAATAGACGCTAACATTTGGTGGAGAAGTTAAATTTATTACGAAAACGATCATTATTATTGAACTTAAAAGTTAAAAAGAAAAGAATTTCCGCATCCGATATTTTTTTCTCGGTCTTCATCGTGTTTCGTTTTCTTTATCTCGTATCTATATATCTGTTATACTATTAACGTTTAACGTATACGTATTTGTTTTTTCATTCATTCTTTTTTTCTCCTTCTTTACGAATATATTTTCTGTGTTAAAGAAAATATTGTGAACACAACAGAACCAAAATGAAAAAATCTAGTTCTTCCAGTTCTCTTGACTTGCCAGATACTTCAGCGGATTTAATACTAACATCCACATTAGATCCGATTACTACATCTGTTACTTCAGAGTTAAAGAGACGCATGGACATTATTCCAACACCAAACCGGCCAGACAGATTAGTCAAGTCCGCTGATGTTTCAACTAATAATATTGCTGAAAGTTCGTTACTAACTACTCTTCTTTCTACCGAAGCTCCTACGTTTAAGGAAGATGATCGTGTGAAGCACGATCATAATAGTGATGCTTTAGAAATACCGTATCAAGTTGAAAGTAGCCATACAAAGAAAGATGCTAAAAATGATACCGAAGGAGAAGATGCCACATTCGATTCATTTATATATGAACATTTCGTTCCTTTTTCTGGAAAAGAACAATTAAATAAGTGGTTAGACGAGACTGATGCACTCTTTCGTCGCTTTAAAATATCGCGTCACCTTCGTTTACAAGCTGTACCGTTGTTAGTTAGTGGTGACGCTCAGCGTCAATATATAAGAAGTCGTCATTCCATCAAATCTTTTGATGATTTTTACGAATTTCTACTTACATATTTCGATTCAGCTGCTCTTACCATTTGTAGTTCTAATTCAAATAAAGTCAATCATAAGGTTGAATTTGCCACAGACACTATGGACATTAGTAATCTCTCTAGTCATTCTGCATTAAACACTAAACATACAACCGATACTACTGCGTTGTCACATTCATGTATTTCTTGTTCTTCTAAACTTATTAATGATGATACCACCACGAAGATTGGTGATGTGTCAGACACGAAGTCAGCAATAAATACATCAAAAAATAATCACTCATCATCAGATTCAGTCATTCCAGATTTACGTAAGGCTATTATAGCAAATTTTATACGAAATCCGAAAACTTTTCGTGGTTACAAAGATGATGTAACGAAATGGTTAGATGAGATTGATTATGTTATGCAAATAGCACATGTACCAGAAGAAAATCGACTCGATTTAATCTCGTATAGCTTGAGAGGTGATGCAAATCAGTGGTTTAAAAATAACAAGTCGCTGCTTACGAGTTGGGATAAATTCACTCAAGAAATTAAAAAAGCTTTTAGTTCATCTTTCTCCGAAGAACTAGCGTTTAAAACCCTTGAATCATATGCTCAAGGAGAGAACCAATCGGTTCGTAATTTTTTCAACGAAATTCTAAAACTATGTAAACGAGCTGATTCCAATATGAGCGAGTCCACTAAGTTGAAGAACTTATTAAACAAAGTCAAACCTAGCATTCAGCTCGAAGTTCGTAAGAAAAAGCCAAATACGACTACTGAATTTCTTGAATATGCAACCGAAATCGAAGAACTATTTCAGTTATCTAATATAAGTACAAATGCAACTTTTAGTTCTGCTTCTAAATCAAAAGACTTTTCTAAGAATGAGGGTACTTCGAATAATTCTTCTTTTCAATATTCCAACAGTAATCGTAGTAATTATCGTTCATCACCACAAACCAAGTTCAGTAATAATATAGGATCAGGTACAAATACGCCTAATAAAAAATATACATTTAATTCAGATCGTACACAAGTTTCTAACTCGAATTATTATTCTCAATCGGCTAGTCCATCCTTATCTACTAATCAATACAGTGAAAATACAGATAGGCATAAGAAGATTAATAGACAACAACGTAAGAATTTATATAATAATCCAAATCATAAGTCGGCATCTCGTTCAGCAAATGCCGTTTTTACATCAAACTTGTCACCAACTAGTGATGACAATATTAGTACTCTTTCAACAGTAGTTTGTCAACTTTGTAATATAATGGGACATGACGCTTCGTCATGCCAAAATTTTCAGTGAAGGAGTCATCGTGTGATGGTGCTGACTCCGGACATATATCTTTAAATCCATCTAAGTCTTCTTTGATCTTCATCTATGCTTTAGTAAATACACATAAAGTTAAAATGTTAATAGATACCGGAGCCACCAAAACTTTCATCAATAGTAAAATCTTACATCATTTAGTATCTGTAGATTCTATACTAAAGCAACCTTCTTCTTTTTTATTAGCTGACGGTATTGCATCGTTTAAAGTTCTTGGATTAGTAGATTTAACCATTGAATTTAATGATTTTGTTACTCCTATTAAAGCCTACATCGCTCAAAATTTATGTACAGATATAATAATAGGCATGGATTACATAAATCGATATAATATGAGTATAAATGTTAAGAAACAAACTGTTCATCTTGAATCTCATAATCGACATGCTGTAGTTCCGATCATTAATCCAACCAAATCTATTAAAATACCAGTAATTTCGTGTAGTACGATATCACTTTCTTCTAATACAGCAACAACCATACAAGTTATCATACCTATTTCAGCTATTTCTTTACCATTTATTCCAAATTCTTCGTTTAAGAGTCACATACTTATTGATAATAAGAAAAAAAACCTGGACTTTCAAAATTATCATAGTGAACTTGTGTTCTATAATTCTAAGGAAATTCCTAAATTCATACGAAAAGGTACTTGTCTCGGATATTTGTTGTGTGGTTCAATGTTTCAACATCCTCGTACTTTTTATTCGTCAAATTTTCATTTAATTGGAGCTACCAGAGGTACTGGTATCGCCCCAGCATCTAGTGACCTGAGCATAAACACCGATTCTAATAATGGTACCTATGCATTAAGCAACAAGCATACTAAGTGTAAGAATAGACTACCCTCTTCGCCACCGAAAACGCTTGTCAGTTCGAAGATAATAAATAATCCTATAGTCACGCAACATCTAAATTCACTTGTTAAGAACATTCCAGATGATCAAATCAAACAGGCTCTTTTGTCGTTGTTAGAGAGTTTCTCTAATCTTTTTGACATCACCAGACATAATATAGCTCGTACCCCTGTCCCACATGTTATCAACACCATTCCTCATTCGCCTCCTGCTAACAGACCCTATCCTCAACCAGATAAAGAAGAGGCGATGTATGAGTTAGTCCAAGAGTTCTTGAAAGCAGGTCTAATATCGGAATCGAATTCCCCGTATGCAGCTCCAGCATTGCTTGTTAAGAAAAAAGATAATTCGTTTCGATTTGTGGTAGATTACAAGCGGTTGAATGCTATAACTATCAAAGATTCTTCTCCTCTCCCCAATATAGAGGACACCATTCTTAAATTAGGGAAAGGTTTTAGCTATTTTTCAAAGTTTGATCTAAAATCTGGTTTTTATCAAATACCCATTAATGAGACAGATAGGGAAAAAACAGCTTTCATTACACCTTTTGGGTTGTACCAGTTCAATGTCTTACCGATGGGATTAAAAAATTCCCCTCCTACGTTTCAGCGAGTCATGACAGAAACTCTCAAATCATTTCGTCATTTCTGTCTTGTTTATCTCGACGATATTATTGTTTTCTCAAAAACCTTTCCTGATCATTTGAATCATCTAAAAAATGTGTTTTCAGCTTTACAAGATAAGAATTTAGTATTAAATCCACTAAAATGCGAATTAGCTGTTAAACAGATTGACTATCTAGGTCATACTATAACCGAGAATTGTGTCACACCAACGAAAGATAAAATCGAGGCAATTTTGCAAATACCAGAACCCCGTACTTTAGCTCAAGCGAATCGTTTTCTCGGATCTTTAGGTTGGTACCGACGGTTTTTACCGAAGTTCGCTGAGGTAGCCGCACCAATACATAGTGTGACAAATCTTACGAAACCCAACCGAAGGAAGTTTAAGTGGCAAGCTTCTCAATCTAACGCTTTTCACCAACTTAAGCAAATGCTAACCACCGAACCTTTATTTCTAAATTTTCCTGTCGATGATATACCCGTAATATTAACTACAGATGCTAGTGATCTCGGAATAGGTGGCGTTTTACAGCAAGAGGTTAATGGGCAATTCCGTAATTTATGCTATCATTCTCAAACTATTTCACCATGTCAGAGAAGATATAGCACGATTGAAAAAGAAGCCCTAGCTATATACAAGTGTCTAGATCGTATGCGTTCCCTTGTTCTAGGCAGAAATATCATTATCATGACTGATCATTGTCCCTTATGTTCTATAATGCAGAAGTCTTGTAAGAATAATCGGGTGAATCGTATCACTCATTTGATTCAAGAATATAACATCGATAAGATCATCCATATTCGTGGTCAGTATAATTGCCTACCCGACTATCTCTCGCGCTATACAAAAGAACCATTTGACGACTTATTTGATATTGACTATGGTTTAGCTAGTACAGATCAATCCCTATCATTATCACCAACACCCACAAATGATATTAATAATTCATCATCAGATAAATTAGCTTCTCCTAAGGATCCACTAATTTTAGCATCCATGACGTTAAGACCTCGTAAAAATCAAGTTCACTATTCAGAAGAATCTATTTCGGATACAAATGATTTTGATAGTCATCACAGTTACGTTGACATGCCGAATTCAAATCCTAAACGTAAAACTAAACTAACACCTCAGATTTCACAAAACTATTTTGATACAACTCAGTTAGAAGTCGAACAAGATCGAGATTTTAAGATACAAAATATAATCAAGAATATATCTACTAACTCGAATCAACATCAGTTTATATTACAGGATAATATTCTTTACAAAATAATTCGTTGTTTCAACAGTTCTAACCGCCTCAGTAAAGTCATATATTTACCACGATCAATGATAAATCCTTTATTAAAAGCATGTCACGATGATCCACTTTCAGGCGCTCACTTTTCTACAGATCGAATGTACTATAAGATACGCCCACATTTTTGGTGGCCTGGTATGAAAACCTCAATTCAAAGTTACATTAAGTCTTGTAGTTTGTGTAAGCAATTTAATGTAGATCGTGCGAAAAAACATGGTCATTTACATTCTATTTCACCACCTACAGAACCATTTGCTTTAATAGGAATTGACTTTTGCGGTCCTTTACCTAGGACTCCTCGTGAGAATCAATATGTACTTGTAATTACCGATTACTTTACGAGATTTATAACCGCAATCGCCTTACCGAATTGTACGGCTGACATAACAGCACGAGCCTTGTTTGAGGACTTTTTCTGCAAATTCGGTATTCCATCCGTTATTTTAAGTGATCGCGGTACTCACTTTCAAAATAAGTTAATGGAGAATCTTCAAAATCTCATAGGATACCATCATATCTATAGTACTCCATATCATCCTCAAACGAATGGTATCGTTGAAAGATTCAACGCTACTTTTGTAGCTCAAGTTTCTAAGCTGCAAAATACTCAACATAACAACTGGGATGAGTATTTGCAAGCAGTAGTTTTTGCTTATAACACCGGAGTACACAAGACTACCAAATTTTCACCCTATGAGTTACTCTATGGTCGCCCTGCTCGTCTTCCCATACACATTCAGCCTAAAGAGTTCACATTTTCGAAGCCTAATGACTACTTTGTACAATTAAAAAAGACACTACGTCTGTTTCATCAAGCTTCGCGTGAAAATATTTTGTCACAACAGCGAACTAATCAGGCTTATTATAATAGAAATCGTCGTGATCCACAACTGAAATTAGGAGATAAAGTTTTAACACGTGTTCATATTGCGAACGGGAAACTAGATCCGAAATTTTCTCCTATTCCAAAAATAGTCGTTGAGATTCACCACCCTATGTACGTAGTCGAAGACGAATGTACTCAGATAAGATCCCAAGTACATATCAGTGATCTACGACCGATCATTATCACATAACATCATTAATCTATTACCTTATATGAATAATATCTAAAGGTTTAATCGTATTTTGATCATGTTGATATTATTATACTAATAATTTCTGGTTACGGATATAATAAATAATTATGCCTTTTCTTACGACGAAGTGAAAAGTCCTTCGAATAGCAATAGTTTTTTATTGTGGAAATTATGTAGTTACTATGGCGCCGTAGGAGCACATAATCGAATTATCACGTTCTGTCTAATAATATCGGATGATTATGACATTCTAAAAATTCAATAACACCCAAATTTTCTTTTAGATCACACCTTTATATTTATATATTATCTCATTACTCACTGAAGCTTTTTCTCATTTAAAAACATTTATACTACTAATTGTTTCGCTTTTTGTTTTTGTCTGTCTATCATCTGTACGTATGATTCTACATATTATTTCAACATCCATTACATATCTAATTGATTATATTACTATATCTTTATTATGACATCATCTTCAACTTGTACTACACCATTTATAATAATAGGAGATAGTCATGGGAAATGCTTCGATTCTACTATTATTACATCTCGTTATACTGTTAAAACATATTCTATTTCGGGTCTTCAATGGCTTAGTAAATACGATTCCGCCTTAAGTTTGTTTTCTCTAATACAAACAGATACCTTTGTTTCTTTACTTTCTTCAACTTCTAACATATTATTTCTCGTCGGAACAAATTCCGTTCGATCCTTGCCGGCAGTAGAAGTTATTCAACAAATCGATCAATTTTTTCTGTTTCTCTATTCACACTACTATCATCTATTACAAGGAAATATCATCCTAACTACCTGTCTTCCTTGTCTAAAAATATCTTCCCGATATTCAACTATTCCATTATTGCATCAAAACATTGATCATTATAATCATTTGTTATTTTCATTATCCTTCAAGCATCGTTTTTCTATTTTGGATTTACGTTTATCGAGTGATTGGTTAGGTAATGACGGACTTCATATTAATTTTACGTTTCGTTCACATTTTGCTAACATCATTCTACATTATATCGATAATCTCAATTTAAATCCAAATGTTTCTACTAACGTTTCAAAACGTTCCCGTGAATCGATTTCACGTAGAAATAAAATACGTAATCTGAAACTAAAAGAAATCGCAAAACAATTTAATTTAAGTCGCGAGATTTCTTCAGCATGGTCATACAAAAACGTGAAGGATTTCTTGAAACATAATAATATTCGATTCGGTCGACTGTCAATTCTGTTAAATCATCAGCTACACTTGCATTTTAATAATGCATCGGATATGCTTTATGCTGATCGAATATTAAAAATCAATGTCTTTGATTCCGATAATTTCATTCATTGGATTCATCACAATGGATAAACTCTTTCTTTATTTTTTTGTCTCATACTGTTACTTTTTTCAACGTTTATGTCTTTCGTTTTTCTAGTTATTTTCTATCTGTTATTTTGTTTTTTGTTTTTTGTTTTTTTTTCATCTCCCTCTCTATGAATCATACTTTCTCTTTTTTGACTGCCCAGCTCAGTAGGGCATGTCAAGCTCATGATTGGTACCTTCTGAAAGGGGGAGGTGTGAGCATCCTGTAGATGTCACTATCCAACATCAACAGTGTTACGCTCTAGTTATTATCCGTTCTGTTGCGTAATCCATTGGAAAACACTATTCACGTGATAGTGTTAAATTATATTACGCACTTAGATTATTCCTATATATGTATCCGTTGTTTCTCTTTCTCTTTCTTCTTCTTCTCTTTATCATCTCTACTGCTGGTCATATCCATGTTGATCGTTCATAACCAACATTAATAAATTATATACATATATTTCTACGTGGCTTCATATTCATATTATGTATGTAAGCTTATATTTATATATGTAAAGAAGACATAGCTTCAGTATATATCCCCTAACATAAATAGAAGCTAACAAGAACAGACGCTCTTTAAATCAAATAAATCTAATTTATCTTTATGAATGTGAGGGATAATAACGTGCTTAAAACGTTGTTGACTCATTGTGCAGCGTAAATACGTTTTTATCCTATTAAGAACACTGAATGATCTTTTGGTAGTGGCTGTTGTTACAGGTACTGTCAAATATAATGTTATGTAATAATGCGCCATCTGTCATGACAACAAAAACTCAACTATAGAAGAAACGTTTGCATGTAATAGAGCCTACTCAAGTCTAATGGCTCCGCCGCCCATGCCTGCCAGCTTCCACACTCACACCCACACCCACACCCTACTGTGATTCTCTATCAGCCATGCACACATTTTTGTCATAATACAACCCAAAAAGTTCAAGAATTTTGACATATTGTATTTATATAATCTGTAGTAAAATACTGTTATAGTCATATGTTTACATTCCTTGATGGTTTATTTCCTCTTATATAATATCCTCTCTTCTCTCGCTTAAGTTATCTCTTTTAAGTCCTAATAAGCCAAATATCGAGAAGGTAACAGGGATCCTCTAATAAACACAAACATCGGAAAATATAAGTTACATTAGAAGATATATCGTGCATTATTTGCCATTTTTAGTATTCAATTGTCCCTGAGCATCACGCCATATTTCATCGCTGTCTAATCTGCCGTAAGCGTTGGTCGCTTGATTTCTATACAAAGCGTCCATCCAATATTTGACGATCATGGGCGAATCGATCATCGCATTGACCTCCTATAACATTCATAACATCGAAAATGTGACAACTAATCTATCATTCACTTACTTGTGAATGAAACCACGAGAGACTGTCCATATTAGCGTTACCCATAATGGCAACTTGACCATCGATTGACATAAATTTAATGTGACAATTACGTTTCTTTTGTAAAAAATGGAGAGGACGCACTTGATCTATACAAAATTTTCTCTTTCAAGAAAAGCAAAAAGTAATTCATGATTTAGCTGACATTTTCCAGTGTACCAGAATATTTCAAGATTTCTCTCTGTTCCATCGTTGGCTTTTGCTAATTTTTTGTATAATTTCTTCACGACATGTTCATTTGTTCCTCCTTGAAATGTTCCATGACCCTCTTTCAAATCATTGAAACTCAAATTAAGCCATAATGTTACTTTGATTCCACGTCGGCTAGCAGCAACAATACCATCAATGGCCGGTGAAGCATTTAACGTCGGAGATTGAATAAAAATAGATTTTTGGGCATATCGAAATGCACCCATAAATACCGCATGTTGTGGATTGGTTGTATCCCTATGGCCAGGTATACCATTAGGTAAACGATTGACTAAAGCAATTGGAAACGGTTCATGTGGACGATGGAAGAGAAACGGACTGAATTCCAACGATAATGCTTCCATTTCTTCGGCAGAGATATTTTTATCGGCTATGGTGGAACGAACCGATTTCGACGATTTATTCAAATGCTCCGTGAAAGGAGTTTGCGATCGTGGATTCGCATCATAGTCGATCACAGCACCGGCGATATGACTTGTTGCTTTCATAGGAATATTTGTTGGCGAATGTGAAGCTCGATTATAGTCAGCCACTCGAGCGGCAGTGCCAGACAGAGTAGTTCCATTGCAT